TTGTTCACTCTTTCAATCCAGAACTACCATTTCTTGATTATTTGATGGCAAAAACACCCTATTATGCACTCAACGGCCGCATTCAAATCACTTCACCGTAACTGAAGATAGAGAAAAATTGTTCGGTATAAATATTATGACAGACAACCAAAGATCAAATGATTTCAAATTCAATTACATGTTGCTTCCGTTGTTGTTTCGATTTTTATTGTTCACTCTTTGAATTTTTCATTTTTCGGTTGCCGAGTTCAAATCACAATGGGCATGCATTTAAACGGCGTTTATTTCTATATCTTTTTTGAGAATGACACGTTAAAAAGAGATAAATGTTAACTCGTTAGCGTTTGTTTGGTTTACGATAAGAATCACAGCCACTCGAGAAACGGCTTCCAAAGCACTTATGATTGTTATTCATAGACACACTCAACAATAAGAAAACAATGATTATGACAAAAGTTTATGATTTTATCTCATTTTTTCCTTCTTCCCTCACACTCTAAACACAGGACTTGGTGAATACGATTTTATTGTAGTAGGGGCTGGGTCAGCAGGTACGTATACATCAAAATTTCTGTTACATAATTTTGAATAAAATGCATCGAATTCCATGTAGGTTCGGTTGTTGCAAGTCGTTTGAGTGAAAATCCCAACTGGAAAGTGCTATTATTGGAAGCTGGCGGTGATCCACCGATTGAATCTGAGGTACGAAATGAAATATGGTTTCAATTTGGTTTGGTTTGGTTTGGTTCAAGGCAACGCACAAAATTACTCCCGCATTACTTTACGTTCAATTCCGAATTTGTTTGACAAAGTGGTTGATGCCGTCGGTTGACGCAAAATGTTTTGTTTTTATTCAACTTTTCCTATCGGTCGAAAATTAATTGACCCAAAGACTCAATTACTGAGTTAATTAATGATAATAATTTGACCATTTCAATGGCATTCCGAGACGCAATTGATCAACGTCACACTTTTGCAATTCATAACAAATTCGTGTTTGAATGAAAGTAGCTTTTTGCATGGGTTTCTTTCCTGATTGGCTTTCAATTGTCTTTTGCATGCAACCAATGCCTTTACTTTATGCTTAGTTTTTATGCTTTTAAATTATTTTTTTTATTTCAATTTCAACATTATTTCCTTTTTCTCAAAAACTCAATATGGTTTTGGACACACACAAACACTCACATACATCTCTCTTTCACGCACACACAAACCCACATTTGCTTGAATCAATTGCGCATCAATCAATGTACATACTGCTTGCGAATATATGGCACAAAACAGATTCCATTTATGATATCGTCATTGCAAAATACATCGGTCGATTGGGGATATTCAATTCAAAAAACGCACAAAATCGGCAATTTACTCGCACACAATGTATCGTGGCCGAGTGGAAAGTTTATTGGTGGTTCTGCTGGTATGGATGTTCGCTTTTATCTACGCGGTAATCCACGTGATTTCGATGAATGGGAATACGCCGGAAACGCGGGTTGGAATTGGCAAAATATGCTGCAATATTTCAAGAAAGCCGAAAACTATCAAACCGATACACCGAGTCAGAATAATGTTGCTGCGAATGGCGTTGATGAATTACATGGAAGAACCGGTCCATTGCCAATCAATCCATTCGTAAACGACCAACCATTCAAGCAAACATTGTTCGATGCGGCGCAAGAGCTGGGCTACAAGCAAATTGCCGACCTAAATGGAAACGAATTTATTGGTATCGGTCAAGCACCGGGCACCATAAGCCAAGGGAAGCTATTCAATGCAGCCAAAGCCTATTTATCACCGGCCAAAAATCGAGCAAATCTGCATGTCATCAAATATGCGCACGTCACCAAAGTGAATGTCGATAATACCACTGGCCAAGTGACAGGCGTTCAATTTCAAATAAATCAAACTCAAGAAATGACTGCTGTCGCTGCAAAAGAAACCATTCTGTCAGCTGGAAGCATTGGAACACCGAAAATTCTGCAATTGTCAGGCATTGGACCGGAAAAATACTTAACACGTTTGAATATATCACTCGTTCGTAATTTGCAAACGGGTTTCAGTTTACAGAATCACATTACGGTTCCGCTCTTCATTCAATTCAATGTTAGTGCCGATGTGCCACCAACCGAAACGAACACAAACACGACGCCAGTGGATGCAAATGCAAATACGGACACGACAACAACAACTACAACCGCCACTGCCGATGCTGCTGCTGGGGGAGGTGTTGATTCCACTTCTGATACTATGAAATTGAACACAGACACTTTATACGATTACATCAAACAACGCAAAGACATTTCCGAACTGCAAAACATATTCGATGTATTTGGTTTCTTTAGCACAATCAATTCACCGTATCCAAACATTGGCACACACTATGCTATTTTCAAAAAAGGCGATGGCATTCTTTTGGCCGAATATTTGAAGGTAAAAGTTGGATTTAATGAAACTGTGGCTAAGCCCATCATCGATGCCAACAAGAATGCGGATATTGCCGTTGTTTTCGTCACCCTATTGAATCCGGTGGGTTTGGGCAAAGTTCGTTTGAACAGCGCCGATCCAAATGCATCACCACTCATTCAATCCAACTACTTGGATCGCCCCGAAGACATTACGTCATTGGTTCAAGGTGTACAATTGGCACGGAGCTTTTTGCAAACTACACCGTTCACCCAATTAACCGCTTCTGATATTGTGTTGTCGATACCGGAGTGCGAAACGGTGCCGGTGAAGAAGCGCAAGGTCAAACCAACAAAACCACCGAAGGAAAAATTAAAGAAAGATAAGAAAAATAAAGGCAAATCGACGACAACGACGACGGAAGCACCTCCACTTGAACCAGAACCTCTGCCCGAACCAATTCCATACGGATCAGATCAATATTTTGAATGCTACGTAAAACAAGCATCGACAACTCATTATTCACCCGTCGGAACGAGCAAAATGGGACCACTTGTCGATCGATTTGCCGTTGTGGATTCGCGACTCAAAGTGCATCATTTGAATGGTTTGCGTGTCGTTGATGAGTCGATTATGCCAAAGATTGTGAGTGCTCCGATTGACGCCGCGACAATTGCCATCGCCGAAAAGGCCAGTGATTTGATCAAAGAAGATTGGGTAAGAATCGAAGCTGAAGCTGAAGCTGCAGCCGCCGCAGCAGCAGCAGCAGCCGAAGCTGTAGCGGCGAGTCAAGGATCAGAAACACCAGAATCAACTGAACCACCACATCAAGAATTGTAACCTGTTTTCAACCGAATCGATCTACTTGATCCATTTTTTACGCAGCGCAACGTTTGTTAAGAGAATCTCAGGTTGCAATTTCAAATTTACTTCAATTTATAGAACATTTCAGTATTGTATAGTATTATGTTAGCGACGAGTAAGTTTCAATATGGTATTTTTTGTTGTAAATTGGAAAATGAAACAACGAAATAGAATCGTAAGTTTTCCTAAAGATGAAAAAAAAAACATTTTTTTATTATTTTGCGATTATTTTGTGCTGTGAAGAGCATATGTAAAACTTTTCTCAAAACGATTTCGCTAAACAAACCAAAAATAAACGCTTACATACACATACCAGTCGCTTCTTACTTGCTTAGTTTCATTTCTATCATTTAATGCTACTGCTGCTGCTTGCACAACTCATTGTACAAATAAATTTCAACATTTACAGATACCGTTATGGTACTTTCCCATACAAAAAACGGAGCATGATTGGAAGTTTAGAAGCGAACCAAGTGACACCGCTTGTCGCAGTGTAAAAGGTGGTGGTTGCTATTGGCCTCGTGGAAAAATGCTTGGAGGTACTCATGCGATGAATGGCCAATTGTACATGCGCGGCAAAAAGGCCGATTTTGATGAATGGCAAAGTATGGGCAATGCCGATTGGGGATGGGATTCAGTGTTAGAATATTACAAGAAAACCGAATCGAATACGAATCGATCGTTTGTCGACAATCACAATGGGAAGTATCACAGCGACAAAGGTGAACTGAATGTCGGTCATTATCATCAACCGGAACCGATTCGCAGTGTGTTCATTGATGCGGCCAAAGAGTTCGGATACAAACACATTGACGATCATAATGCGGATGCAGATTTGGGCTATGCAAACGGTCAGGGAACGTTGAAAGGTGGCGAACGTCATAGTACAGCGAAAGCATTTTTGGTGCCGGCGAAAAATCGCAAAAATTTCCATGTCATTAAATACGCCTATGTAACGAAAATTCAAATTGATTCATCAAACCAAGTGACTGGATTTGAGTTTACCTACAAAAATCAGCATAAACTCATGGCCAAAGCAAAGAAAGATTACATTTTGTCAGCTGGTGCTGTTTCGACTCCACAATTGCTAATGCTCTCTGGTGTGGGCCCAAAAGAGCACTTGGAATCGCTTGGAATTCCAGTTAAAGCCGATTTGCCGGTTGGGAAAAATCTTCAAGACCATTTAATCGTTCCGCTTGTTTTTCAATTCGACAAATCAACGGCCGAACCAGAGCCACCAACAGAACTTCTGGATAATCTATACAACTTTTTAATTCATAGAACAGGCCCGTTGGCCGGTATTGGCACAATCAATTTGGCTGGTTTTATCAATTCGGAAAATCACACCGGTTATCCGGATATTGAACTGCAGCATTTCAATCAAAAGAAACAATCCGAAATGTTAAAAACACTCCTTTATGCTATGGACTACGAGGAAAGTGTGATTAAACCATTGATTGATGCAAACAATGAAGGCGAAACGAATCTCATCTACGTTGAATTGTTGCGACCCAAATCATGTGGTGAGATTTTGCTACGAAGCACCGATCCAAATGATTCACCACGAATTTTGGCCAACTATCTAGGCGATAAACGAGATGTTGATACGCTGGTTCGAGGTCTTCAGTTCCAAGCGAACTTTGTCAATACGGAAACATTCAAGAAGCACGAAGGTGTTTTGGTTCGAATTCCATTCGATGATTGTGACCAGCTCGAGTATCAGTCATACGATTATTGGAAGTGTTATATTAGCCGGATGGGATCGACGGTGTACCACCCGGTTGGGACGGCCAAATTCGGCGCTGATTTCGACAAAAGTGCTGTACTCGACAGTTCGTTGAGAGTACGAGGCATCAAGGGACTGCGCGTTATTGACGCCTCTTCACTACCAACTCAAGTCAGAGGAAATCCCAATGCTGCAGTGATCATGGTCGCCGAAAAAGCCTCCGATATCGTTCGCAACGAATGGATGAACAAAGAAAAAACCGAACTGTAAATGACAAATTGGATTATAATTATAAGCCCAAGAGAAGCATTAGCTTCAAAATTATTGATAAAAAAGAAATACACAGCACTGTGATTGACACAATCCATTGACATTTGCGTTTTCAACTGCTTTAATTTTAATACATTGCAAACAGCAAAACAATAGTTCTAGGTAGATCTGCTGAAATATCACGAATCGCAATCAAAAAACACGCTTGTTTCCCACAACGTGGACAGAAAAAAACGAATGCTTTTGTCTTGCTTCTCACGCGGCTACACTTGAAACAGAATTTCAATCGGCAATTGAATTTTGGAAGAAAAAAAATGTTCAAATTGTTTAGCTTTAAACATATTTTGTGGCTAATAAAATTGCAGCTTAAAATTTAATGGTTATATGGAAATAATTGTGGCGGTAATTATTTTTCTTTCTTCTCTCTAACCAAAGTTGATTTTTCGATATACATTAGAATATAATGAAAACAAAATTCGCTTACAGATACCGCAAATGTTCATGGGTATAGAAAAAACAGAGCATGATTGGCAATTTTACACGGAAAAACACGATAAATACTGTCGTAGCTTCAAGAATGGGTGTTATTGGCCAAGAGGCCGCATGGTTGGAGGGTCGCATGCAATAAACGCGTTAATTTATTTCAGAGGAAATCGTGAAGATTTTGACAATTGGGCACGATTAGGCAATCCAACGTGGGATTATGATTCGGTGCTTGAATACTTTAAGAAAACCGAACGTAATTTAAATCAAACACTAGTTAATAAAGGGAATAAAAAATGGCATGGCGATGAAGGAGCAATGCCAGTCGGACACTATGGTGGTTCAGATAATATTCGGCATGTTTTCATTGAAGCGGCCAAAGAATTCGGTTACGATTTGGTTGATGATTTAAATGACGATGTGACGCTTGGATTCACTTATTTGCAAGGAACGGTAAAAGATGGTCAACGCTTCACGACGGCCAAGTCATTGTTGGTGCCAGCAAAAGATCGTAAAAATTTGCACATTATCAAACATGCTCATGTGACAAAGGTGATTGTTGACGCATACAATACGGTGACTGGTGTGGAATTCACGTACAAAAATGAGCATAAATTGGATGTTAGAGCGAAAAAGGAAGTGATTTTATCAGCCGGAGCTGTGAGTACGCCTCAATTGCTTATGCTATCAGGAATTGGACCAAAGGAACATTTGAAACAATCCGGAATTCCAGTGATTAAGGATTTACCTGTTGGCAAAAATTTGCAAGATCATGTGATTGCGCCGATTCTATTCCAATTCCATAAGTCAACGGCTGTGGCAGAATCAATCATCGACCAACTGGATGATCTTTATCAATATGCCATTCATCGAAGCGGGCCATTAGCTGGCATCGGGACCATCAATTTGGCTGGTTTGATTAATAGCGAAAATCATACAGGTTTTCCAGATATTGAAATGCAATGCTTTGATTTTCGAAAAGGCTCTCTAGTCTTGGAAAAGGGCTTGCGAACGTTGGGGTACTCGGAAAATGTGATTGAAGCATTTGTCGGCGCAAATGCTGAAGGCGAAGTGAATAATGTCTACGTAGAATTGCTACGGCCCGAATCGACTGGAGAAATACTGCTGAAAAGTGCAAATCCATTTGATGCGCCCAGAATTATTCCGAATTACTTTGAAAAAGAAGAGGATATAAAAACATTGGTTCGAGGAATTCAATATATAACAAGCTTTTTGGACTCAAAGTCATTCAAAGAGCACGAAGGTGAATTGGTTCGAATAGTATTTGATGATTGCGATAAATTCGAGTACAGATCTTATGACTATTGGAAATGTTATTTGAGTCATATGGGCACAACCGTATATCACCCGGTTGGCACTTGCAAAATGTCAGATACGGACGAAGATGCGGTCGTAGACAGCGAACTAAGGGTTAAAGGCATCAAAGGTCTTCGTGTTATCGATGCAAGTGTTATGCCGAAAATTGTCAGCGCCAATACCAACGCCGCGACGATCATGATCGGGGAAAAAGGCAGTGATTTCATTAAATCAACATGGCAAAAGAAAACCGATAAAACAGAACTATAATTTTGTTTTTCTTTTTTTTCTTATTTCAAGGGTTTTGGTTCAAATACTAACAATGTAAATAAAGGAATGCTTTAGTTAGTTCGTGTTTTATTTACTGACATAAAAATGACTAACAATTGTGAACTAATGACTGCTTGCATCGCATCTGCTTTGACTAAATCAAATCAAAATAAAACCACATCGTTTAAGTACTAACAAAAAATCATTAAATCTTTCTCTCTGTGCACACATGATCATTGTCATATCCACTGTAGGTGCCGCAACTATTTTTTACTGTACAACATAGCCAACATGACTGGCAATTCACGACACACACCAAACACGGCTGCCATAACTATAGAAATGGTTGTATGTGGCCGCGCGGTAAAATGCTAGGTTTGTGTTTTCATATCTATATCACAGAACCATTGAATATACACTTTGATTTTTCTCTCTGACCAAAAATTAATTTCTGATTTGTCGATATCAAAAGGTGGTACGAATGGCATAAACGCCATGATTTACCTAAGGGGAAACAGAAGAGATTATGATAGTTGGTACAATTTGGGAAATCCAACATGGGGCTATGATGAAGTATTGAAATATTTCCGAAAATCAGAGCATAATACGGATGACGATTTGGTTAGATATGAAAATAGGAAATATCACAGCGACAAAGGATTGTTAAGAGTTGGACATTATCGACTGAAAAACGCTTCGAATGTGATTGAAGATTGTTTTGTTGGTGCTGGCAAAGAGGCGGGCTACGACTTTGTCGATGACTTTAATTCGGATACAATTCTTGGTTATGCTCGCGCTCAGGGCACGGTTGACAATGGTCGGCGACAAACCACGGCAAAGGCATTTTTGATTCCAGCCAAAGATCGGCCCAATTTGCATATTATTAAATATGCACATGCAACGAAAATCAATGTCGACGACAATGGAAAAGCAACTGGCGTAGAATTTGTTTACAAGGGAAATGAAAAACTGGTCGCAAAAGTGAAAAACGAAATTGTAGTATCGTCTGGAGCGATTGGAAGTCCTCATTTGCTTCTTTTATCGGGAATTGGCCCGGAAAAGCACTTGAAAAAACTCAATATTCCGGTGAAAAAGAACTTGGCTGTGGGCAAAAATTTGCAAGACCATTTGATTGTGCCGATGTTCTTCAGTTTCCATCGATCGAAGAGCGAGCATTTGAGCCCAGAAAATCTGTTGCAAAACACAATGGACCTGTTGTTGCACAACAAAGGCGAATATTCAAACGTCGGCATAACCGATTTAGTGGGCTATATAAACACAGTGAATGGTACTGGCTATCCCGACATTGAATTACATCATTTCAGTTATTTAAAGGATTCAGTCTCATTGAAATCATATTTGGATATCGTTGGCTACGGTGACGACGTTCAAAAGGCGCTAATCGAAGAGAGTAAAACCAGTGAACTTGGAATGGTCTATGTTGTACTACTCAATCCAAAGTCGGTGGGGAAAATTGAATTGAGCTCAAGCAATCCACTCGAAAAACCTTTAATTTACCCCAACTATTTAGACGAAGAAGAAGATTGGGAAACCATTCTCAACGGCGTCAAATATCAATATAATCAAATCCATTCGAATGTATTCAAAGAACACGAAGGCACTTTTATGCAGTTGCCGTTGCCTGAATGCGATAAACTACCGCTAGCTTCCGATGAATACTTCAAGTGTTACATTGATCAAATGACAACAACGGTCTATCATCCAATTGGCACATGCAAAATGTCAAACACCGATAAGAAAGCGGTAGTCGATTCCCGTTTACGCGTTCATGGCATCCCGAATTTACGAGTTGCTGACGCCAGCATTATGCCAAACGTCGTCAGCTCCAACACAAATGCACCCAGCATCATGATTGGAGAAAAATGCGCTGACTTTATCAAAGAAGATTGGAAAATGCAACGAGATGAACTTTAATCGAAATGAATAAAAACAAAATTTATTTTCTAATATAAAAGAGAACATAAAGCTGAAGTTAAAGAGAAAAGGAAAACATATTTCAATTTTCCATA